TACCACTACCACTACTACTACTACTACTACTACTACTACTACTACTACTACTACTACTACTACTACTACTACTACTACTAAGATAGCACATGTGTCATGCCCCGGAGCTCAGTTTGGGCGGCGCCGGCAGGAAAACCCCGGCTCGGCCGGGGTGAGAGCGTGGGAAGCGCCCCCGGAGGGCACCCGCTGCCACTGTTTTGGGTTTTAGGGTTTTAGGGACTTAGGGTTTTGGAGTTTTAAGCTTTAGGGCTTTAGGGCTTTAGGGTTTTAGGGTTTAGGGTTTTCGGGTTTTAGGATTTTAGGGTCTTAGGGTTTTGGGGTCTTAGGTATTGAATGAAGGTTCGGGATTCAAACTTTTTCAGGTTGTGCGGCGTTGGGTTTAGGCGTTAAGGGGCAGGGTCTTTGTTAGCACTACTGGGTCATCAGAGATTCCTCAGAAACAGACTTTGGGACTACCAGCTGCGATGACGAGTGTTCGGGTCTGCATGCATTCGGGATTCTTCGCCGAAGACTGGACAGCAAGTAGGCGTGGGTGCTAGTCAGGATCTGGCAAAGTGCACTGCCATCTATATCAACACATATACAGTCCTTCTCGGACCTTTTCCGCTGAACCGTCCCGTGTGGTGGTGCAAAGAAGCCCTACGTTCTGAAGGTGCGCAGTGCAAGGGCATGCCAACTCTTGGCCCTGTGAACACCCTCCGTTCGGGCCACACACAAAGAATTTCTTCAAATTACGGAGCCCACTCGGCTCTGTGCGACAAAATCGGGGCTCTGACTGCACCACGAGCCCTCGAAGTCGTCTTACCACCGAACAACACCAGGCGGAATTTTAACGGGGGGTTGTTTGAAACTCGGTTCCATTGAAACGACCATGAGGGCACCCGATTTTGGGACACAAGGACCTGCAAATGGAGACACTTGCCGTCTGCAATTCTGGTTTGAGGCCAAACTAGGTTTTTCAGATGACTAGGAGCCTGCAAGTATGCGTGAACCATCAACATCATAACCACCGGACCTTAAGCACAAGCAAACCATGCACGAAGCCTCACAACGCTGCACCGGGAACACCAAACCTTGAACCGGAACCCGAATCCCTAAACCTCAGGCCACAACCCCCAACTTCAACTTTACACTGAAGAAACACCATCCGCCTGTTTGGCTTCCTGTGACGGTCTGCAGATCTCAAGCTTGGAGATTGCTGGCCAAGTCTGGGTTCTTTTGGCAGTAAAGGCATTGAAACTATGAACCTAAGACTCAGTGCAGGAGAAATAAGAAACCACTCGGGAAACCTAGCTCGACTATTCGTACTGCATGATGATGGCCGAAACCCGAAAGTAACTGCAGTTTCGTAAAGCACTTTTACACAGACTTCGAGCACTAATCCTTTTCATTCCTGTAGTTGTTGAGGCCATGCCATGGGCAGCAAACTCCGCATCTCCAAGCTCACTTCTCCTTGCAAGGTGGGACTCTCAAGCGCGCAGGAGATTGCTCTTGCAAAACTTGCAGCACGTTCATGCATTCGGAGGAGGGGAGTCGTGACTCTCCAGGGTTCAGGATTTAGGAGTTTGAAGCCCAACTATCGCACCACCAGGAGCATTGACAAAGTTGCGAAGGGGGTATGGCGGACTCAGACCGTTAGAGGATAAGATATGCGATCTAGAGGCTTGCCAAACAGTCGCCCCCGAAACACAGACCCCAAACCTTATAATGCGAACCGCAAACCTTAATGCGAACCCACCGGGGTTCAAAACCCTAAAGTCCCTAAAGGCTCTGATCCGTGCAGACGGGATTTCAAAAGCGTCCTTCGGCTCAGCAAGTTTCCAGGATTCAAGGATTTGAGGTTGCAATGTTTAACACCTTACTTCAAATCTTAAGGTCGAGGTTTTTGGGGTATATAAGTGCAGCAGGGAGTAACTAGTGCAAGGCTCTTCGAAGGTGTCTCGCTTGTGCTTTAGGGTGTAGGTTGAGGCTTTACTGTTGGTTTCAGAAGTCTCCCCATCCTCGGGTGCTTGGAGGCGCGTCGCTTCTTTCAGGGATCGCGCCTCCTTGGGTTCACGTCACTTCATGGGCTGTTCGATGGCATGTTCCGTTTCTTGCATATGGAATAGAGTTTTCGACGAGGGCTTTGAGGCAACTAGGGTCTGGAATGCATTTCTTGATCACCGCTGTGGAGTTAAGGTAAAATATGTGTGGTCTATCCTGGCTTTCTTTATACACGTGTTCATTCAAAGATCGCTGCCGTGAAAAGGCCCATTCCTATATGGTCAGCCAGCACTATGCAGGAATCATCTCGCAGATTCACCTCCGAGCTCAGAGGTGTCCTCGCGGAGCTTTACAATTGGGCGTGGGATTTAGCGTTGAGGGTTCAGGGTTGAGAGTCTAGGCCCTAGGCTTAAAAGCCAAACGGGGCAAAGTACACTGAAGCCTGTCTCGAGACAAGAAGCACTCGATACGCCAGCATTTGTCTCGAACTCGGGAGGTGAGGAGGGGATTCCCAGCAGAAGAAGAGGCCACTTTCCGGAGATGAAATACCACTTGGAGGGTCATGGGACTTAGTAAGTATGGTTATATTATATGTGCCTTGAATGGGGTTATAGGTATAGTTACCTTAATAATAACCGTAATTACTAAGTCCCATGACCCTTTAAGCAGGTCAGCAATTGCCCGAAGGGGAAGTCCCTGGCACTCCCCGATACAAGGAAGACCTCAAAGATCTCGGGTTGTTCTATAATTTGTAGTAACATGAAATGCATGCTGCATCTCCATTCTACATTCTACTGAATTTACAAAACATTAGGGTTTAAGGGTTGACGATTCGATTGAGGTATAATCCTGGAGACAGGTTGAGGCCACATCGCGCAAGCTTCGCGCAGCCTGCATTCGAAGCTGACGCAGTGCAGGCAACCCGGTATGCGAAACAGAACAGCAGGAAGCTCCAGCCGAGCCCAAACCCTGATCACGGCATCTTATCATAAGGGCAACCAAGCACAGCATAAGAACTCATGCCTGGATTTCAGGTGGGGCTGAATACAAGGACCCAGAACCCCTAAGGCGCTAAAGTTCCTGTGTCTGAAGACCCGCCGTGCCTGAGATGACTGCGGTGCGAATACGCGCAGAGGGCAGGGGCGGGAGCCTCGGTTGTGAGGGGTTCTACCGACGTGTACCCGAATTTGCCCTTCAGTCTTGAACCATTGAGGGTTTAAGGCTGAGGGGTTCAGGGTTCAGACTTTGCAGGTTGAGGACTCGAGGGGTCAGCCCGTAAACATCTGCTTCTAAAACAATGCGAGGGTGCGTTCCCGGCTGCAGTAGTTGGAAGGAGACGGCTTGGCAGGCAAGCTTTTTGTCTGGGGTCTACATCGCATAACCCTACTTCGGGTACATCATGTCGGGACTTTAACAGCGAGACTCGGGCTTTGCGGCAGGCTATTCGGCTATTCCGGAATGATGAAGGTTCATATAGACATAACACCATAAGAGGCTAAGATCTCTAAGTATTCCGACCTCCATCTTTTCCCGCCTACATCTTCAATGTGTCATGCTCGCGAGTCGCAGCCTTCGATCACATCTGCAAGAACCCGCGGTTAGCGATGCCACATTCACGAGCGTCCTACATCCACAACCCCACAAACAAAACCCAACCCGGACCCGAGGAGCCCGCTTAGCCCTATTATATTATGAATATCATAGTGCTAACTACATTATGCTAAGGAACCCCAAACTAGTATAGAATCCCCGAAGGCCACATCTCGACCGAGGTGCTCTTGCCAGCCACCTGAAATTGAGTAGAATTCCACGCTGGAACTCGCCTGGCTTGGAGGCGCAGCCCAGCATTCTTTCCCTCGCATCTCTACATCTGCACATATGTAACTATGTATATATATATGTGTATACTTAGAGAGAGAGGGAGAGGGAGAGAGAGAGAGAGAGAGAGAGAGCGAGACAGAGAGAGAGAGAGAGAGAGAGAAAGAGAGAGAGAGAGAGCGAGAGAGCGAGAGACAGACAGACACACACACACAGCCATACCACATAGCTGTATACGTTTTGTACGGAATGCACGTCTCTCTTTTCCTCTCTCCCTCTCGCTCTCTACACATACATAATACGCATATACGTAGGTTTGAGCAGTTCGAGCTGCATTGCAAAGCAACTCTACAGGGTTCGCTGTCACAGGTTCCAGGTTCAAGGATGTGGGTGAAGGACTCACAGGGACTGGGGTTGGTTGAATGCTCTGGGATTCGGGCTCAAGCTTCATCGGGATTAGCGGACATCGATGGACTTGATAAGCCATCAGCGGGAAATGCTGGAGCAGCTTCATCGATACCTGAATTTCCTATTCGTGTGTTCATTGATGGCTTTGGATATGCCGCGTATGTGTGCAGAAGTACAAAGGCTGGTGAGGGCATCTACAGACGAACGTGTCATGACGACGTCACGGTCTACCGACCCTCCATTGTCCCACCCCTCCCTCGACTTTGAAGGACTCACCACACTGCCCTAGTCTTCTGCATGTGTTTTTCACTGTGCGAAGGGACCGCTTGAAGAATCTCAATTCTCGAACTTCCTGTTGCGGAGCCTGGGACGTGATGCTCTTGCCACCCACAACCACAGCACCGTCCTGCATGATTCAATGATGGAGCGGTTGGAGCGGATAAGCTGGATCCGGATATCCAGATCTTGGGATGAATCCCCCATCCCTCTGCAACAATCCTGAACAATACGCTGAATCCTAAAGGCTTCTAACCTCTGACACCGACTCCCATCACGGGTATTCAACGTCCCAAACCCACAAGTCCTAGATCCTAAAGCCCTACCGAGAATCGCAACCCTGGGGGCAACAGCCAACACCCTGAAGTTCAAAAATATCCTGCCCCATGGCGACGCCAAATTTCAAACCCATAAAGCTTAATACCCCGCATAGATGTGTGCAAATTATGCTCCAAACCTCAAAACCCCCGAAGTTCCGGGGTAACTTTGACCATCTTTTCTGGCTTTGCTCAGGCTCAGCGGAGGAACCAGTCCCAGCACGCGTCGAGAGAATCCCTCGGATTTAGGCTTTGAGGCTCCAGGCTTTAAGGGAGGGATCTACGGGCTTTGGGATATAACCGTTTAGGCTCTGGTGGTTGGTTTCTGTCCTTGCGCATGTGTTTTACAGATGTATCTGTCTAGGTCTAGACCCTTTTTCTGCTGATAGGAGGGTTTGCGATAGGATTTGAGGCCTAGCTATGCGATTGACAGCGCTTTGGACTTATAGCGCTGATAGGCCCCCGGATTCAAGGAACTTACAAAGGCACGTGGGGCTCACCCTTGTTTACAGCTTCCAGCATGCTCCTTGGGGAGATCCGATGGTGAATGACGAGCCTTCAGGCCCTAAGTTATACAAAGAAAGGGCACGCGGAAGAAGTCCACAGCCGCGATAACGTGTATGCTTCAGACCCTGTAGTGCTGAACAAGGGCTCTGACAACAGCAGATGGCACAGAGACTATCACAGAACAACTCACAAAGAGCATGCGAGCAGTCATACTCGAAACGCTGACCGACTTTGACAACAGTGGCAATCGCGATGATGACATCGGTCTGTTTAAATGCTTTAAATGCTTGTAGCGAGGGCAACCGCGAGGTTTCAAGCCTTCGATGCTTACATAGCACCTGGGCTCTTGTTGAGGAACTCAGTGTCACTTGACATGTCCTTCGTTATTATGGGATCATCGTCTGTTAAACCAATCTAGAACCCAGAAGCAGACTGTTTCCATCAGCAGCCGAAGCTCCTTCCATTCTCATCCTTCTGCCAAGATTGGCCGATCGCGATGTAGCAGCCCACATTCATGTCGTGCAGGCTTCTGCGCAGGGAACGTGGAGTTTAGTGGCATCAGCATGACCCAGAAGCCTCACCACAAATCCTGACACCCGGGCCCTCCTGTTCATCCTCTCTGCCATCTCGGGCTTGCAGAGGAGCTCGGAGACATACTGAAACACAGACCTTCGGGTTTCGGGTTTTAAAACCCCTGGGTTCAGGAGGTTTCGGGTTCAGTTCAGGTCCAACATCGACAAGGAGGGAAGAGAGCAAGGCGAGACTTTAGGATGCTTAAGGCTCTGAGGACTGAATTCTCTGTACCAGGGAGCCATAAGAAGAGTTTTCGGCCCCTTTGACTGTATCGCCCATGTCTAGTGCTGGGGTTGAGACGGGTGATTGCAGAACACGGCTTTTAAGCCCCAAGCCTTGCACTCCAACCCCGAAAACACAAAGAAGAAGCTTCTACTAAGCGTCGTAGGTACCCTTAGAGAGCCCTTAGACTTATTGGAGGAAGACCTTAAGCCCCAAACTGCTAAGGCATCCGTGACAAAGTCAGGCGAGAGGCGGCTCGTATCCAAACCCGACAAACATGACGAACCCAAGAATGCCTGGCGCGGGCTTCGGGTAGCACGGCTCGGCACTCAGACTTCTATGGAATATCACGTCCCAGGTTTCAGGCGAAACGGGTTCGGCTTCGGATGTCGGGCCTGAGGCGTAGGGCATGGGCTTTAAACTTTCGGGCATCTGGACTCTTTCTGACGAACTCCGAGACCTGAGTTCAAGGCGGCTCATGAACAAGTGATTTTGTTGGCTGCTCGTGATAAGAACTGGCCTTGATATAGGGGCCTTCATGATTGGAATCAGGTGTTGGTTGATATTAGTGTAGATACATAAGGACTATGAAGGAATCTTGTGAGAGTATGGTACGTCTTTGAGTTTCAGACTGCAAAACTCAGATCTGAACATGATGTATAGAGTTTGAATCCTTGTAGCAATGTCACTGATAAATCACGCTTGTGGGAGTAGTCCTGTGTGAGGTACCACCCTCAGAGTACTGAGGGACCCCCCGCCCATTCCGCGGGAACGGGGTCGGCATGTATAAATCAATGTTGCATGCTACAAACCGCTGATTTACCATATGAGCCCTCGCATCACATCAACTCTGGTAACGGCCCCATCACTCTTTATGAGCCGTCCTTGCTTTGAAGAGCTCATTATAGACATACTCCCAAATTTTGCAGAACCCTTGCCTGGGTCGCACTCCTTCATGCATGGACCTCGCTGCCCCGACGGCAGGTACTTGCAGATGAACAGTGCCGGATACCTGGGCTTCGGGCTTCCGGTGCTGGACTTGGGCTTCAAGCCTTCGGGGTTTGCCAAGTCTGGGGTTTGGGGTTTAGTGTCTTGGGGCCTGGGTTCCGAGGGCTTCGGGTTCGCGCTTTAGCGCTTTGGGCGCAGGGGCCCACGCTTTCCATGCGGATGACCGCAACATTGTTCCGGGGTACAGGAAGAGCTCCAAGAGAACTGCCAGGAGGATGAAGATGAAGAAGACAATGAAGTAGAGCACAATTCCTGCTCTCAGACTCTGCCCCTACACGAGGATCTCCGCTTCAGCTGCTAAAAACGCCTCGGCCTTGAACCCCCTCCCCACACCGAGTTGCTAAGAAAGCCTTCCAACAATCTGCAACTGGAAGGCAGCCAAGGGTCCAATCACGAGGCTATAGCAAATACACGCCACCGTGTCGCAACAGCGAAGGACGCCTCAGACAAGAACGGGTGGTTGTATACCGGCTGGGAGTTTCAGAAGCTGGTGGAACCGGAACCTCATATTGCCTGAAGAATGGCTGCGGTACTGGGAGCAACCAACCAAATTTCGAGGTCACCCAGTTTCAAGACACACCCAGTCGGAGACGAACATTGAGTTTATGGCGTGGAGTTCAGGATCTTGGACCTTACCTGGCTAACCATAGGGCCCTCAAAAAAGCACATACGCAAAACGAAGACGACTAGGGAAGGCCACATACAAAACCACCCTCATATTCGGCTCCAAAATGAGGATACTCAGGGATATCCCGTATAGGACCATATCTCCCCCCATATGTTTCCTTCTAGTCGGCCCTTTTGGCGTCTTTGTGTTTCCAAGGCTCTAGCATGAGGATAATGAGGGATATCCCATATACCCCCCCCCCCATATTTTTCCTTCTGTTCGGCTCTTTTGTTTCCAAGCTCCTTAGATGCCAAGCTGCTCGAGGGCCTTCCTGATAGGAACTTGGGCTCTGAGCGTAGCCACCTGCTGCTGTGCCGGGCCCGAGCTCGGCTGGGATCTTCTTTGATTTTTGTTTTTTTTTTGGGGGGCGGGGGGGGGGTTCCCTATTATGATGGTAGAATAATGGTAATGGGCCCCCAAACCCTATTGTGAGTATTAAGCGCCCGGCTGGGCTTGGCTAATGGTGGAGACGGACTCCTCCTGCCTGAAACACTAGCATTGCGCATGTCTGCAAAGCCTGTGAAACGGTGACTATCATTACCACTCCAGTCTATTGTTTCCTTATTATACGGTGAGTATCAGTTTTGCTTTGCTGGTGCGGGGTTGCTGTCTCCATCATTCACTGCAGCAGAAGCCTCGCCAAATGCCGCATGCACAGGTTACCAGAAATCCTCAGTTGCTTCGTGGCACGAGCACGGGAGCTGCATGTGAGACAAAAGTTGGGGTTTGCGATCTAAGGGCTTGCTGTTTAAGCTTCGGCGTGGGGTCTGGGGTCTACCGGTACCAGAGGGAGCAGCTAGCTGCGGTTAGCTTCCGGTATGCTGCTTGCGTTGTGAAACCCAGAGCAGACAGATTGCTGAAGACAGTGGGTAGGAACGAACGGAGCAGTACACCGGTATGAATCTTTCATGATCGACAGGCAAGCGATCTGAGCAGACAAAAATAAGGGGTCTTGACATATGGAAAAGAGTCTTGGAGCCCCACGTTCTACAATTGGGACTGTACAGTGATATCTCTCTCTACTCTTTCCGACCTGTTAGTTTGTGTGCGGGGGAATCACGTTGGACCGTTTTCGTGACAGATTGGAGCTTGGCGCAGTCGAGCATCGATTTCTGCATCGCGACCTCCCAGTCCTGAAGCCACTGATCGACCAGCTCGCGCAGAATCGGCTCCCTAGCACCTAGAGCTGAGGACGCACGACGGCTGCTCTCCACGGAATTCTTGAACTGTTTACAAGTGTGGACACTGTGGCCATGTGATGGTCAATTGCCGAAAACGGTCACTGCCACATGCCATTGCCTGTGTTGCTACTGTTTCTTTCATGCGTATTGCCATCATATTCGTTCAGTTGAGCAGGGTTTTTGTATCCTGCGATAATATATTCCGGTCGATATCCTACCCGTGTCATCTTCGGGTGTCGGAAGCTTGCTGATACCCAGCTTCCTCTCCTTGCACGTATTTGCGACTCCAAACCTCAAGTCAAGGCGCTCTGACGCGCTCTCCCTGTTGGCAAACTTCGCATAGCTTGAAAGTCCGTGGAGGTGGCTCCAAAACATGATTTCTGTTCACACCCATTATTGAAAGATGCCGCAGCACGCAACCGAGTCTGCACATCGCAAACATTCGTAACTAGAATAAGAATCCTATTTCAGAAGTGATCAACTTTGGAGGCTACATAGAGTTTGCAGGGCACAGAAGCCCAAAAAGTGCCCTAGAAGTCTGATTAAGTCTGGTCTGACCAGGCACTTAGCCACTGGTTGTCATCCATGTACGGCAGAAGCGGCGAATCTGGTGGGAGACCGCGCTGCTCCCAAACCTTGCAGCAGAAGAGTGGCATTAATAACTAGTCTTGGGGTGGATCGTAGTATGCGGTTGTAGGAGTCAACCATTCGAGGATACCAGGATACCGGTATGAATCATTCACAGCTCTTTTTGACATTGTCCCAGAGTCCCGGGAGCTGAGTGATCTCACGAGCCTATACCGCGAAAGGCCTGCACTACGGGAACCCTACATAACCCAGAAGAGCCATAGAACCCTGAAGCCCCAAACAAAAGGAAAGTTCCAGCTTGTTGGTGTTGCCTGTAGCCCCACGGTGACCCCACGTACATACAGCTGCCTGTGATGATCCTGGACCTCACCGCATCCAACCCAACGCCCCAAGTTGAAACCCAAACTCCCCAAATACTCATGCTCAACCCTGAAGCCTCAACCCCTGACCCGATCAAGCACGGAGGCCTCTTTGGCAGTCGTGACTGCAAACCGCTCCTTTGGAGAGGCCTCACCGCCTTGCTAGGGGAGCGTTTTTGGGAGCGATACGTATGGGCAAGATAAGGGGCCTTGACACTTAGAACAGAGTTTGGGGCTTCTCGATTTGTTCTCTGGTTTGGGGACCATGCTTTAACGGGGGGAGGTTTGGTGCGATTTGATCTCAGGGTTAAGACAGGTCTACGTGCTGGCGATCGGATTTTGTAAGGCTCATTGACGGAAGGTTTCGAGTGGCTTTCTGACTTCGGAAGGTCTGGGAAGCTTTGGGAGATTAAGGGCTTCGGCTTGAGGCATCGTGGTGCAGGGCTCCGCAAAGACCTGCGTCCTGAATTCCGAATCCGGTTTGTCAGTAGGGCATTGTAGGGGCTCCCCCAAAACAACGGTGATGGTTGAAGCAAAGAAGCTTTCGATGGCCGGAGCCCCCACCACGTCGGCTTCGGCGCTGTTCGCCATGCCGGCGGCAGAAGCGCCCCGGATGTTTCGGGGCGACAGGAGGGGACCCAAAACCTTAACACACAACTTGACCCTTAAGCCATGCGCCCCTACACACACCGCAAATCCTACCACCCTGGACCCAATGACAGCATACACCCCTGACCCCTGAATGACAAACTTGCCATGCACGTATCGAGCCTTGAATGAAGGCTCGGGCAACAAACGAGCAGCCAGTTGCCGACTTACTGCAGAAGCCTCAATCTAAAGCCCGGCCTACAGTACCTCACAAGCCGTCGATCCCAAAACCTTTGGGTTCAGAACTTGGGCTTAGAGTTAGGATGTAGTCTACAGGGTTTAGGGTTTGTGGACCTTGATTTTCCTGGCATCACCTAGTCTGTACCGCTAGCCTTTGCCGCTTTGGCGTCAGGTCTCGCACCCAAAGGTCCTGGAACATGCAGGCGGACATCTGCTGCCGTGCAGTTGGCATGGGTGGCAGAGGTGTCCAGGTCTGTTTGCCGAACCTGAGCACAAAGGCTTCGGGAGTTCAGACTCGATTCAGGGCTTGAGTTTGTAACATCTATGCTCCATGTACGGGGTTGGATGGTTGTTTCTGGCAGTTCATGGGAACTGCCTTGAGTGCAGACCAATTTTCGTTCGAGATGGTCAAATGCCGAAGATAAGGATTCAGGGGTTCGACGCCTGCATCTTGCTGCAATCTCCAACGGCTACTTGCGGATCGTGCGGCCTCTCATCCCCGACATCCGAGCATCTAGTCCAGCTTCAACGACGAAGGCTGAGCTCGCGGCATCAAGCGCGGCTTTGCCTGTTTCCAGGCGTTTCGTGTTTAGGGTCACGGGCTTAGAGGTTGGGAGTCTTAGGGCTTAGATCTGAGGCTTGGAGTGGAGACTTGAAGCTTTGGCGCTTGGGGTTGGGGAGTTAAAGCACTGGGTTTAGCGAATGCAGGACTTCGGCAGCACCTGCCCATCCGGACTTTCTGGAAACATCAGGTTCAATTGAAGAGACCGCAGCAAGCAATTCCGCGAAGCTTTTCAACTTTCAATTTTGTGAACCCCCACCGCATTCTGCACCGAAACCCGGCTCTTGACTCGCAGGGTCTCAGAAATCGTTTGAACAGAGCTTTGTGGGTTTGGGTTGTCCATGAATCGGCTTCTATGAGCCAATAGGGCTCTGCAGAGGGTTCTGTAAAGTTTGGGGAATTGGCTTTACGGTTTTCGACGATTCGCGATTTGGCTCGGCTTGGAAGCTGGATGCTTGCTTTCCCACGCTTGGTTTCTAGTTCGTATACATCATGAGACATCACTGACACATCGCCGCCCAGGGTGTAGGATAAAACTACACCCACCTTCCAAAACCCACTTATTTACTCCACTCTCAAAGGCGGGCCGTCTCGTTCAGCGCCGCTCGCTCCGCAAAGGTCAACGCCTGGCCGCTTAGGCCAAGGCCTGGCAGCAGACTGTGGTGACTGTGGTGTTTTCTTGCAGAGTAGGGTTGCTTCAGGCCCTTTGGGCTGTGACATTGTCAGGGCTCACCGGACGCTGAAGTCGGAGGTCTCAGCTGCAAACCTCTGAACATGGATCCTTGGAAAAGCAGCCATCACAAGTCACAAGTCAGACAGGTGACAGCTTCGGCAGGACAACTGCAAACCGCCACCAACACCAAACCCACAACCACCACCAGCACCAGCAGCAGCAGTGGCACTCGTATTCCTAGAGCATTGTGAGTAATTGAGAACACCAACACCAACACGAGAAACCGTAGCAACAGCGGGGACGGCAATGGCAACCTCGAAGCACTAGCAGCAGGACCGCAGCGGCACCGGCAGCTATTGGAGTTGTAGTTTTTAAAAGTAAAGGATGCTAGCAGGCATCGTTACCCTATTCATTGGAAGTCGGCTACGGCTCCGAACTCAGAATTTAGGTTTGGGAGTTGAGGATATAGGCTTCCGGATTATGGTTCAGGGTTGAGGTTTTCCGGGAACGGGGTTTGCCAAAGGTGGGGAAGTAAGGCGTTGGCTGCAGGGAGTAGCATTTCAAGGGCGGGACATTGGATCTACTGTTGAGGCTGCAAGGGATTGTTTGGGGCCTTAGCGCTTTGGAGTTCTGCGAATATACAGGGACCTCAACACTTAGAATGTGTCTTCGGGGTATATTGTACTATGCCGGTCGAATGCTACTGATTCTTCAGACTCCTATATTCTCCATTCGGCATGACTTTTGCTTTGACTCAGCATGACTTTGGCGTTGTGTGCTTGCTGGGAGTACCGTTAGCCTTACGTCTTTCCGCTCCCGGCAGCTTTGGCTATGGTTGCCGTAACCCGGTCCGGCGCCTTCCGTTTCACTGCTGTTTCCTTTGTTTGGTGTGTTTGTTGGTATATTTAGGACTGAGCGCAGCAGCCGCTGCCACCGAAGCCCTCCCAAGCCAAAAAAATACACATGGTCAAACTGTTGATGGTTCCCATTCGCTTTACCTCAAGTTGAACGTGTTAGCCGGACGGCGATGTGTATTTATAGCTCTGGACAGTTGCGCCACCCTCAACTCCCAGAACCCAAAATGCCCTCCGAGAACTTTCGCCGAACCCCTGCGTAGAACGTGTATGTAGAACCCCCCTTTGACGGAGCCCACAAGGCGCCTCCAAAGTTGTAGACTTCTCCGGCTTCCTTTCAACCCGCCGGGGGGGGGGGGGGGCTTTGGCGGCTTCTTAAAGCTGAGGGATTTCGGTTCGTTTTGTTTCAGGGATTTCGATTTAGGATTGAGGGTGTAGGCACCTTCTGCTTCTCGGTGCTGATTTTCTGTCATGGTTTATAAGGGCGCTACAATAGGGTTCCTAGGGCACGGGGCACCTAATTTTAGGAGGACTTGATATGAGGATACTGCCATGTAGGGCTTATCAACTCTCAACCCCACACATCTACTCGCGAGGTTTGCTTCGAGGGCTTCATTCACGGGTATTGGCGTTACGAAGACACTGGAAGAGTGGGCACTGGAATGTGAGAGAAACAAAAGCAGCCAATAGCGACCTGGTTGAAGGCTCTTAGGGTCCAGCAAAGATTCTCAGGGTTTGGGGAACAAGCGCAAGCAGGTTCTAGCTTCGCGGATGACTTGGTCATTTGTCATTTAGGATGATCCTTGGCATCAAACAACTTTCTTCAAAGCCTGAAATCCCTAATTTCAGATGTTGACGGAACAGCATGAGACATATATTGGCATGCAAACCCCAAGCCATAAATCCTTGCAAACCCGCAAACTCTATACATTCTAAAAAGCCCGGCACTCTTACATAAACCTGATGCATCTTTGCGGCATCCCCTTCCCAAACGCGCGCGCGACACCTTGGAACCCCCAAGTCTGAACCCTGGGCTTCCGACGCCGATGATCGAAACTGCGCCGCAAAGCGGGGACCGCACCGAGGGATACAGCTGCCACATGCCCACCTTCTGATTCTCCATTTTGGCTCTTGGGCGCAGCTAAGGACGTTTCCCGATCCTTTGTGTAACATCGGGGTTCTGGGTTCATAGATTACAAGGTCTACCAACGCATCGTCTGTACTTGAAGGGGACTTTACAAAGTTTGCCTTTTCTCGTGCCGCCCTGCACCCTGTGGGACTACGCTGGTGACCTTAAGTGATTTTGAGGTTTCCGAAAACGAGGAACACCAAATACTGGCTGTTCTGAACCTACGGATAGTCGCTGCGAAACCTCGTGCAATCCTGGAAGACGCTTTATGAACACGGCCAAACACTGACGCTTTAAACGGTGTTCCCTGGTGTTCCCTCACTGAGCTACCCTCAATTTGCAAAGAGGTCCCTTCTGCTGAAAAAACCGCCCCCACGGCCTTGGAGTCGAAGACCTCGAAGGTGGCGGCCGCACCCGCCTAAAAGGCCGCAAAAAAAGAAAGGCAGCGCGAAGTCACTCGGATGGAGGAGTTCATGGATCGTGTCAATCATGAGTATGAATCCTTTCAACCCGAAGCCCTAAACCCTGAACCCTAAAAGGCTAAAAGACAATAGCGCGAGTTCACGGATGAAGGAGTTCATGAGTCCTTTCAACGATGAATGGTGCAGTGGTATGGCGGACAGAGAAGAATCCGTTATGCTTCGTTTGACCGGGAGATGTGTAGGTTTGCAAGTTTAGGGCTTAAGGCTTCATTCCCTAAGGTTAATTAAGGGTGTAGGAGTGATCAGGGTTTCATTAACATTAAGGCGGAGGAGTCACCAGAAAAAGAGCAGTGTTGGAGGGGCTCGCACCTGGGATGATAAAATCTACAGTGGTCTGAAAGTCCAATCTCCGTGACGTAACCTGTATGAGCTTCGCGGGAATAATCGCCGCAACATGCAACAATCACAACCACAGCAAATGGAGGTGAACCAAACACACTAAACCAATGACCCTCACAGCATGAATAGTAGTGCTGAGAACAACAACACTGATAATAGCAACAGAAAAAAGCGTCATGATCATCATTGTCGTCTTCAGTTCTTCTTCGTCATCCTAATGAATAATAACAATGCTATCCGTAGTAGCAATACAAACAGCTGTACCAACAAAAATAATAGTAATGATCCGAAGAAGACTCATAGTTGTCCAGCATACCAACAATGATAAGATTTGTGTTCGCCATGAGCAGAAGAAGACGATCTCGGGAAGCCGCTTCTGTGAGCTCTCCGCCGAAGACGATGATGCGCCCTTCTGCGCAGGTGGCGGAACAGGCCTTGGCTCGGGGCGTTAAGGATTAAAGGGTGCGGGGTGGCTTCGAGGCCTTAGGAAGATCTCGTCGAGTAGAGAGCCGGTTTAGTTGGCGAAGTCGTAGAGACCAAGTGTTTTGGAATATTATCGCCTGAACTGGCGCTATTCGCGGGCTTTCACGAGGTTCAAGGGTCTGGCACCTGGAGGTGAGCGGCCTGAAGGTTGGGCTTCGGACGTCGCGCAGATACAGCTAAGGCGCAACTCAGGGTGCTAGTGGAATTGCCTAGATATGGTCATCATGTATCCATGGCGAACACAGATTCTACTGATGCCTGTCCCTACGCCAATCATACATACAGACTGTCACCATCGTTGACGACAAGGGGGTTGTTGCCTCCAGACGAGACCTCTGGGTGACGAACGTACCTCGGCTTCTGCATCGGCGTCACCTCCTGAACAGCGAACGCAACGACAAGTGACAACAACAGCTGGTTGTAGCACAAAGAGTGCATTAGTCCTGCCAAGTACAAGGGAAGCAAACACAGCAGCTTCGCAGTAGCAGTTGTCAGAATCATGAACAAAACATCGACCATCGCGAAAAGAGTTGGACTCTCGAAACCACACCAACACAAGCCTAAGCCAAGCCATGCTCTGAGGTCCTGCCACTTCTGTGTCTTGGGGTGGAACTGTTCGACGGAACCTCGGTGTCCGAAAAAATCCTAAACCACCTACCTTGGCTGCACAACCGACAGGCTAAACTCCGCGCCCTGATGAAGCTGGCAGCTGGCAGCTGGCGGTGGGTAGGGGGCTGCAGGGTCTGCGGAATCCGCGAGTTGAATAGCCGCTCCTCCTTCTACCTCAGGCCCTGAAAGAAGGTGAAAATGCGAATAAACAACGAGCCCCAGCAGCCGAAACGGTTTCTGCCGAGGGACAAAGAGCGTTGAAGCCGTCATGGCCCCCCAGCACATAGAGGTAGCCCTGGCATTTCTGGACTGACCGTGGGGTACCTTATTTTGGGGGTCCTTATAGTAGGGATTTTACTATTTAGGGTACTATATTCGGGTCCCCTATTTAATAGTAATGGTAGTAGCACACGCGATAAGGCAAGGCCTACTTGGAGGTGCCATCTAGCAATGCACCTATGACCTATGAGATCAATAGGCACGCAACCTGCAGCACCAAGCAAGACGGCCGAACAATCCAAGGCTTCGGAAACTTGCAAAGAAGCTGGAATCTTTTTCCAGCATGTAAACCATGGTTACGGGCTACAGCCGGCATTCCAAAGCCCTAAATCCCCGGACCGAAATCCGAAAAATCCTCAAACCCAGCACGCAACATCTCTCATCTCCCCGACCCGGGGCCTGGCATTCGAACGCTGCAGCCTTGATCCGACCCACGGACATCGGCGGAAGCTGCTCCTCAGAACAAGGAAACGGAGAAGCTCAACCATCCATACATCCCTCCGTACACCCTTAAATCCCGAGCCCCTAAGCCCTGCACCCCGGAATTTCTGAGACTTAATTGATACCTTTATACCGCAGACTCTCTGAGGGTGTGAGGATCAGAGTTGACTTGAGGTTTGGGTACCTTCCGGCTGTAGCTTGCACCTTCGAAGTTCAAGACTAAGACTCCGGTTTCTCGGCTCTGCGCAGATCGCTCGAAGGGTCTACCTATTTCTTCATAAGGAAGCCATACACTAAACCATATCCGACTGGGCTCCCACATCGTGGTGACCTGACTTACTACGACTTGCCGGTCTTCAAGTTCTCCCTCTGAAGTCAACCTGACGGCACAGAAACAGTTAAGGCTGTGCATCTACAACAGCCGTTCGGCGCTGTACACAGACATGCATCCACAAGGGTTCATATGTATGTTAATGCAAGTATGTGTTGAAATCTTTATGAATGAATATACACCTGTGTCTGTGCATGCATGGATGCATGCATGTCTGAGTCCCTGTCCCACTCTCTCACTCTCTCTCTCTCTGCCTGGACGCAGGTATGCATGCACTCTGCATCGATGCATGCATGCATGGATGTATCGATCCATGTGTATGTACATGTGTATGTTGATGCATGTATGCATGTATGTAGGCATGTTTTGTATGTGTGCATGCTGATGTACACTATATAGACATCCGCCCAATCCCCAAAACTTTAAACCCCAAAACCAAAGCCCCCAAAACCCTGAGCCCGACACCATTATCATTGAATCATCCTGCACTCAACCTGACATTCAACCGCCGAGGCGCCCATTTTTGGATCCCCCATGGATTGAAGCGCTGCACCTCAGGAGATCGCTGGCTGTCACTTGGGCGTGTTCTTCAATTCTCTTGTGAGGGCTTGCTTGCAGAAGGTGTTCCGTCGGAACAATTTTAAAGTTTTTAAAAGTCTCCAAAAGCCAACTCTGTCGAAAAAGCCCTGTGGATCTAAACCCTGTGGTTCTGGTTCGGTGCCAAGGGGCAATGATCCGATACAAGTCTATTTAGTCGTAGCTACTCAAGTTCAGGGCAGAGGGCATGGGTTGGGTCCTCGAGCGTACTTTCCACAGCAGCAAACTCGTGCGAACGTCAGGCACTTCTCTAAATTTGGAACGGCCGTCCGGTTTAGTCGTCTTGCCTGCACTCGTTGTCTCACCATGGCTTCTGTTGCTGTTAGTGCGGGCAATGTTCCTAGTCCTGCTGTTGTATATATGCATATACAGCGACGAAGATGATGATTGTCAGTGGGGCCGTAAACAATGTCTGTGATCGTGACCCCTCTTCGACCACCCACTTGCAGAGAATCGAAACGCCTGTACTCCGAATATTGCAAGCTCTACATCCTACACGTCCGACACCCCAAACCCAAGCAAATCCTAAACCCCCCAAACCCTCAACCCTGGAACCCCAAGCCCAACTATCCTACACCTCTCCACTCTGAACCCGTGCACCCCTCACTCCCTCAATCCCTAATTCCCTAAACCGTCTTAAACCCCTATAGACTCTAAACTGCCCGAGGCACGTCCGCCAGGGCCACTCCGCGGAGTTCCCCGCCGATCCTCTCGGGATGCTGCTTTGGGCTCAGGGCTTCGGATTTAGAGTTTGGCATTTAGGAATGATTAGTTCAAAGCTTTATTGTTTCTCTAGGGCTGGGAGAACAGGAGCCGTTGCTGTTGCTTCCGTTACTGCCCCTGTTGACTGTCATGACCGTGGCCATCACTAGGATCAGCCTGAACACCATCCTCGAGACCTTCCGGGTTGTTGTCCGGATGTGCATGGTCCGGCAGGTTTTGAGGTACTGTCCAGCTTACTTGTTGTATACTGTATAGGAGTATAGGCATTATAAAGGTCTGGGCGACTGCCAGTCCACATACCAATCCTCGATCCCCAAAAAGACTCTCACGTAGGCTTTCACTTTGCGGCTAGGATAGGCCTTGTAGGGAAATGCATTCCCATGGTGCCGAACTTTGCAAAGCTGATAACCTCTAAACCCTTCAAATTTGGCCCAAAGCTTGCCCAAAATCACTTCAGCAGCTATGCTTTAAGCCCCCAGCCCTTCATCACTCACTCCCTTAACCCTCAAACCCTCCGACGAGGAAGGGACACGTAGAGCTGGCCACCCACCACGGCGAGGCAAACTCCATGTCTGGCGGTGTTGATTGGCGGCCTGGAGGCTGTATAAGGGCTCCTTAAAAGGGCTCCTTAAAGGGATCTATGGGGGCTCCTTAAAAGGGATCTATAAGGGCTCCTTAAAGGGATCTATGGGGTTTAGGCTTTAGGGTCTACTTTGGCGGGTTTTTCAAGATTTAATAGAACGCAACATACGGGCCTTAATTAGAGGAGTATGGCCTTGGGGTATATATCTATATCTATATATATATATATATAGATATATATATATATAGAGATATAAAACTCCAGCAGGATCAGGGAATATGCTGTTATTAATGTTGCTCCGACCCCAAGATTCTGCACGAAAGTGCCAGGAATCTGCTTATTGATTATTGCTTTCGGGTTCGAGGCGGCTTCCGGGCGCGGGCTCAGGGTGTAGGGCGTAGGGTTCACGGTTCAGGCGCTCGGGCTTTAGGGTTTCAGGGCTTTGAAGCACATGAAGGTGAAGCAAATGAAGATCGAGATTCGGGGGGCTGAGGGCTTCAGTGGTGCCGTTTATCTCCGACCTATGGAGTCTCGATTCAAGCTCATCCGCCCCAAGTCCTGAATCTTAACAGCCCAGCCCCTGAATCCGAACAATCCTGAATCTCATATTCCTAGCAACTCGTGTCACTAAATTCCTTACATCCATGAAAACCTGAGACGCCGACAGACTCTCCCAAGACCCGTCCGCCGGGTCAAACCGCTCCACCGCGTTCAGCGGCGTGAAACTGTCGTCCAGGCCTGCCGTGGTTTCTTTTCAAGTGCAACCGCGGCTTTGGGGTTTGGGGATTACGGGTTAGAGCTGGGGAATTTAAAAATGGCCTGCTCTGCCCATGCCTCGAATATGTGTAGGGTCTCTTTTATGGACATAATCGTGAAGGGCCCTTGTCGTACGGATACCATTCTAACTTGACCACAATAATGCCAATGATAACACTACTTTGCATGCTGGCGGTGCATCAGCAGAGATAACAGCAATACAACACCTAGCAAGCCTGTATAAGAGGTGTACTCAAGCCTTCGGCAGCTAACCATATCTAGAATCTAGACAACTTGCGCTCCACAGCAAATGCCAACCATAACACTATCAGCAGATTCAATCTTATAACAAACAATGCAGAATGACGCCTCCCCGACCCAAGCCTTCTGTCAACACGGGGCCCTGCAAAATTTGATCAGGCCCTGGGGTTTCTACAATGCAAACAATATTCTGGAAGCCTGCGGATCAAAATTGCGCGAGTTTCTCAGATGTCAAACCCCAAAAAACCCTACATCCTTTCCCTTCAAAACCACTTTCACGCTGCCTCCGACGACATAGAGGCGCTCGCGCTTCAGCTCCTTAAGGGCTTTGTGGATCGCCCGTCTCAGCGCCTGGAGAGCTCTGGCATCGGCTACGACTCTCCAAGCTGCTAAGGTATATTCTACCCCGTAACCCCCAAACCCTAAACCCGAGAAGTTCTAGAAACCCTGTCAGCTCTCTAGACCCTGCAAACATCGCAAGCCCTTGTCGCGTAAACAAACATATACACATAAAGAGACATACATTACATACAGGTGTTACAAGGTAGCACGACTCTTGATCATTCAGACCCCTATTTTTGAAGCATCGCAAACCTCGCAACAAAGGCGAGCCTGGAGCCTCGAGTCTGAGATGCCCTAAACACTGAACAGGAGTTCCTTGTTGGGTTTCAGGCTCGTGGTGGGTTTAGGGTTGAGGGTTTTGGGGTTTTAGGGTTTTAAGGTTTAGGGGAGTTAGGGCTCCGGGCTCTGGGAATCGTGTTGATGCTACGCGATAGGTGCCATGATACTTGCGCACTATGGTTGTTGATCCCTGCGTGAAAAGATTCCACGTTCTACTCTCAAAAGGTCCAGACAGAGTAGCTACTTGAGAGAAACTGACACAACCTTAACGGACCTTACTCTGGCGTCTCTGCATCTAATTACTCTAAACCGTACACCCTTTGAGCCCCTAAGCCCTGAAAATACCTAGGAACTGGATTCCCTGAACTCTTTGTGTAAGCTTCTTCAAAGTCGGCCTTGGAGCAAGTGCAGAGTTGGCCCGCGGATGCTGGCTCTGAGAGGGAGCAGACCTCGCCACATCGCGCATGCAAGGTCAAGGGGGGCGGGAGGTGGCCTTAGCGATCGGAACAGTTCCTGTCTTTTTGTTACGGGTTGCTCATCCAACTCACGAAACTTGGATCTTCAACACTTCAAGAACCAAAACTGTACATGCACAGCTCCAATCAGCTCCAAGTGACCTCTGGCGCTTGAAGTTCGAGCTTCAAAGCCCCACAGCCTTTAACCTCGACTCCAAGCGCCCTTGGTCTTACACCCGGCTATCTAAAGCTCTATACACGAAACTCGACAGTCTAAACCCGATGCCCTGAAACCTTACTGAAGCCTGAAATCGAAATCCACCAACACCAAGTTTCTGAGGCCCTTAACCCTAAACTCTAAATTCTAAACCCTACACCCCCCAAAGTCCCAAAGCCTCAAAAAAAACCTAATTTGCCTACACCACCCTATAAGTCCCAAAGCCTCAAAAAAAACCTAATTTGCCTACACCACCCAAAGTCCCAAAGCCTCGAAACAACCTACTTTGCCTACACCACCCAAAGTCCCCCAAAGCCTCAAAAAAAAAAAACCGAAACCTGCCCCGCTTCGACTTTCTGGCTCAGGTCCCGGGCTGCCAGGGCCAAGTCGTGAGAGGTCATGCGGGCCTCCTGGATTTCCGGAGGGTTATACAAGGGTACTATTATAGGGGTACTTTAAGGGTTCCGTTATAGGGTTATACAAGCGTACTATCAGGGTACTCTCTTCAAGGATCTTCGGGAAAGAGGCTTTTGGTATGAGTACATCTTGGGATCTTGCCTTCAGAAACTGTGGTAAGGCTTAAAGTTTAGAAGCTCCGACCCATGAAGCTCGAAGCCCAAAATCAGGACCTCCCGAATATAACAGTCCAAGGCCAGATCGCCGAATCTTGTCCCAGATACTAAACAGGACGATCCTGACATTAAGGACCCCTGGTAAAACAGGCACAACCAAATTTCCGAACTCGACATTCGCAGGCCTTGTCATTGATCAGCTGCCTCTTCAGCACTTCACCCAAAATTGCGCGCGGGTGCAGGCCACCATATCCTGGTAATCTAGCGACTTTGCTAGCGAGGCCGGGGCTTTGACAAACATTCTAATACATTTACTACAAGGGACCCTCATGACTAGTTGTCCGATCAACCCTGAGGAATGGTATTACTTCTCATCTTTTGTGCGGTTTGTGCGAGTGGTGCGGCTCCACAGTCGAGGCTGTGCACGGGTTGAAGTATCCTAGCTACACTGGGTCATGCCATGCACGACCCTGACTTAAGCCTGTACGAGAGTTCGAGAAAATGCGGGACTCCAACTTGAACCCTACTGTAACTAACGGAAGCACCGCTCTGAATTCCTACGGTTTTCACAACTCTCACACACCGAGTTCCTTGCGCCTGATGCACTAAGTGATTTCCGACATGACGCTGCAAACCGGGCAAACTCTTTTGCAGAATGATGGATTCATGGTAAGCCCAACAAGCCAGGGTGTCTCAGAAGCAGCTCTGGTCCCTGCCTGCATGAACGCCCATTACAGCCTGTCCAGAGGCACCTACGTCTCTGTCTCTCTTTGTCCTGAGCCCAAATGCGTGCGGGCACCGGGTTCAGGGTTTCAGTTCAAGGGTTTCGAGCCCCTGCTCCCTACAGTACTTGAAGGCTCATGGGACTTAGTAAGTAAGGTGGTTATGATTAGGATAACCCCACTTAGGGGACTTATAACCCCGATTATAACCTACTTACTAAGTCCCATGATCCTCTAAGTAGAGCCCGAAGCCGAAACTCAACCGCAACGCCCCGACTCTCTGCTTTGTTCCCAAAAGCTGACATCCTCTGCCCTGAACCGCTGTCACTCGGAAAGCTTGATGGTTTGCGGGGTTTCCGAAAATTAGGGGTACCTTAATTTGTGGTCTTTATAATAAGGATCCTACTATTTAGGGTGCTATATTATGGTCCCCCATTTTCGGAAACTCCCATTTCCCGATCAAGAGACCTGGACAATGACTTGATGCCGCGTGGTTGCCAGCCCAATGAATCTCAACGACCCCATCCCCAAAACCAGAGCAATCTGTTTTAAACCCGCGCACACACACACATGCGTATGGATATCGAGATGGAAAGTATACGGATATGGATACGGACATGTAAATTTAAAGTACATCTGTCTGCATGTGCCTATGTCGACGTGTAGTAAGGTTACAGCGCAACGCCTGCTGCCTCGGCTTGTTTCAAGACAAGTGGGGCGCAGCATCCGACGCGTGAGACTCTCCCATCCGGCTGTTGGCGTCTCTTTGCCGCTAAGGCTGTGGGGGGTGAGATTCGACACACAAGAACCATCCTAGAAAGAACCCTGGCATCTTCTAAGCAAGTACTGTATGACTGTATCCCTTCCTTCACGACCACCATCTGTCTTGGTATTTACCATGTACATGTATACACGTGCGTATACATATACACACATAGATGCACAGTCTATAGCTCTGTCTCTGTCTCTCTCTGTCTCTCTCTCTCTCTCTCTCTCTCTCTCTCTCTCTCTATATATATGTGTATATATACACGCACGAGAGAGAGAGAGAGAGAGACAGAGAGAGAGAGAGAGAGATCATTTTTAGGAAGCCGGTAAGCCCTCAATCAGAAGCTACATCGCGATAGGCCCCAAGTTTTAAATTTCCTTAATGCCTTGGCCTAGGTAGCTATGCCTGTTGCCCAGATGGAAGCCTATTGCCTTCATAACCTGCACCCACCTGGCCCGTCTCTCATCTGCCGTCTGCCGTTTTGGCATACTGGGGTCTGAGAGCTGGAAATACAGGATTGAGGAGTAGTAAGCCTTGGCCCCACGCCGCGCATTCTAAAGATTCGCCACAAGCGGGGAAGTTTCGGCAAGGCTTTGTGCCGAGAGCTCACCAGGGACTTCTGAATGTGATGGCCAATGTGCTACTGGGCGTTTGACGACAGAATCTTTCAGTCATTCAGACCTTCGAGTAGAATCGCTGGCGACAGCGCCGAATCTGCTGCAGATACGACCGCTGGAAGTCCAAGGCAAAGCTATCTCCATGCGCGGGAGGCCATCTTCTGCCCGTCGGAGACCTTTCCACAAGATGCGGCAGTTTCAAATCTTCGGGAAGATCAATCCTGCAAGACTACTTGTGGGTTATAATGTGAGGCTTCTCTCTTTTGCGAAAAGTCTGTTATCGGTAATGTCCTGGCAAAGTGGGATACGCTAAGCCACTTTCTCTTGGCAAAGGCTCCAGGCACAGGATATGGCATTATTAATTCAGAAAAGACGATCATATTGGGCCATATATCTATCAAGAAAGTCGCTGACATGAGCTGTGCTTCTGTCAAGGCGTGTGCCGTGAAGAAGTGAAAAAAACCACAGGTTTTACACCCCACTAGTGGATGTAAAATGCCTGTGGGGACATATAAGTATCCCCTAATCAACATAAATATATCCATAGTTTCATACATATATATATATTTATATATATATATATATATATATTAAAATGTCGCATATATATATGTACATATCTCTATATAGCACTCATATTGAGACTGCTAGCTGTTTAGCTCATACCCCAAGAAATAGTATAGCAACAGCCATATATAGGTAGTATGTGGTCGTCCTCGTAGTTGTGGTGTGTCTATAAAAGTGGGGGTATGCAGTAGCTAAAGCAGTACTCAACGTGGCAGCAGCAGCAGCAGCAGCCACCTTGGTGGCATCAATATTATTCTTGGTAGTACAATTAGCAAGTAGCATAGTAGTAAGTTGCACTTGTTCCTTCATGCACAGTGATGCGCGATGGCTTCGAGAAGGAAGGCTATTTCTTGGTGCTGCCGTAGAAGTAATACTAGTAGTAATAGTAGGTGTAGCAGCAGGAGTACTATAGTCGTAATAATAGTAGTAGTAGTAGTAGGTTTAGAAGCAGGATTAGAAGTAGGAGTGCAATAGAGCTAGGAGTAGGAGCAGCAACTGTCATAGTATAGTAGCAGGAGCAGTACCAGTAGCAGTTGCAGTAGTAAATTTAAAGTACTAGTAGTAGCACTAGTAGGAGTAGGAGTTGTCGGAGTAGTAGGAGTACGTAGTGGTAGTGGTCGTGGCAGCAGTAGTAGTAGTAGTAGTAGTAGTAGTAGTATATAGTAGTAGTTGTAGTTGTAGTAGTAGTAGTAGTAGTACTATGTATAGTAATGACTTAAGTAGCAGCTTGTAGCAGTACAAGAAGCCTCTTTTCGCAATGTCGTGCCCACCACCGCCCTTGCTCCCTGACAGTGTCCTGCAGATGAGTCGCCGTTTGGAAAAACGCCAGATGTTTATCGAGTCTGTGAAGAGCACGCATATGTACCAATTCCTGCGAAAACAGAACTGGGCTTCGATGGCTGTATCTCCTCCTGTGACTCCTCGGTTGGCAGTGGAGTGCCCGAAAAGTGTACGCGAGAGAGAAACTTTCGTGTGGAAGTGCAAGGTCAAGACTATGTACGAAGCGCTCTCAACACCGTGGTGGAAACTCAAAGTGGACATGGCCAGAGACCTGTACATCTAGACGTGGCGGGCAAAGACGAATTCTTAATTGAAATCGTCAAATGATATAATGTCTGATGTTTATGCAAAGCAGGGCACAAATTTGTAATTCGATTTCTCTGACCACGGCATTGCTTGGACAGCCAAAACAGGTCTTTTCGCGCGAAGCTAAATGTCGTTTATCGTAGTAGTAACAGCAGAAGAAGCAGTGTAGCGAGTAGGAGTAGTAGTAGCAGTAGGAGCAGGAGTTCTAGCACTAGTACTAGTACTAGGTAAAGTAGCAGCAGTAGTAGTAGTGGTAGTAGTAGTAGTAGTACTAGTACTAGTACTATAGTAGCAGTAGTAGAAGTAGTAGTAGCAGCAGTAGTAGTAGTAGTAGTAGTACTACTACTACTACTACTATGACTAGTATCTATAGCTATAGTATAGCTATATGAGCTAGTAGCAGCGCTGTGTATTACTATATACTAGCACTAGCAATCGTAGTTGTCGTGAAACTGGTGGTAGTAGTAGATTTTAGTAGTAGTACTTGTTGCTGCAGTAGTACGTAGTACGTACTTGTAGATAGAATTGGTATAGTATTATAGTAGAAGCACGATTGGCATGCTTCAAGCTGGTGCTTTCGCAAGCTCTTCAGGTGCATGGGGCATTTTTGAGGGGGGTTTAACTCTTTCAGATTTGGGGGTGATTCTGCAGGGGATCATCAGTCACAAACCCCAAACAAATCTCGGATCAAGACTACGTAGGCATCCGTCCCAATAATCTACCGCTAGAGATCCCGAAGCCTGTCTGCAAACCTAAGTGCAACGAGGGCCCCTTCCAACCGTGAATTTCTACGCAGCCCAATTAGGAAAGTCTGAAACCCGTCTAACCCCGAGAAACTTTGATCCCACCGCCTTATAACCAAGTCCTTCAAATTTTGAGACTGCCACTCATCTCAATCTGTCAACATCTACAGTCATCAACAGTGTGTGACATCATTATTATGAAGTGAGCAGCCCGACAGATGCACCCAAATCAAAAGCTCTTCGACTCCTAAACAGGTTTCGGCAACTGTAGGTTGGGCTCAAGGGTGGACTCTTTGCTTGGAAAGGTTGCTTTTCAATTAGGAGAGTGTGGACAAAGATGGTTAGATAATTGCCCAACTAGGGTTTCGTGGTACATCAGACTATTCATATTTGTGGGTATGTGGTACACTAAAGGCCCTGGGTATGTAAAACGAATCCAACTGCAGCAGCAGCTTACTGTCGTGATGATGGTGAGCTTGTGGTGCTAGACCTAGATTCGAATTGACCCACCTTAAAGCACGAAACCATGTCGGCACCAAATCCTGATAAGCCCTAAGTATAGGGTTCCGATAATAAAAGGCGTGCTCGACATCTCTGTCGCCCTTTTGGGCTTCGGGGGCCTTGGCCCTGATTCAACCTGCTGTTTAAGACACCGGCTGTAAAAGTTTAAGTTGGACTATGGTTTAGATTGATAGGGTGGCAACTAGAGGGTATCTTTATTAAGTTGAGTGGCATATTAGCAATAGTGTCACATGTAGTATATCAAGCCCTGAAAATGTTGATGGTTTGCGGTATTGCCTGCTCTGTCGTTCAGTCTTATGGCTATGACTGAATCAAGCATACCTACGCTTAAGAGGGTAGCATTCCTGTGTGGGCAGAAACCCAGGTTTATGATGTAGAAAGGTGGGTAGTCCTATTCGGGGGTAGTTTAGTGGAAAGACCGGTGTGATTAATTCATGTGTTTAGTGGTTTCAACTTGTGCATTGCTCGATCCAATGTGCCTGTGAGTGTCCCTCCCACATTCATGCCCAGGCCGGGCGAGGGTTCAATTTGTATGCGGTGATTTCGGGATGGGTCTTGGGATTTGTCTGTCCTTGTGTCAGGTCATGGAGATGGAAGTGCTCTTCAGCTGGGTGCCACTGCGATGGTACTGAACCTAGTGGTATGGCTCTGGGTCCAGTTTGTGTGTTATTTCAGCAGCCTGTTCATTGCAACATGGTCAGGCAAG